GACTATACACACATGATTTAAACCAGTGCCCTCAGAGAAAGATATCCAAAGCTTTGTCTCATTAATTGTTGGTAAACAGAACATAAAGAAATCTAAGCCTATCTCGAAGTGGCACGTGTGAGTAAACAGTCTTTCATAAAAAAGTTACTCGCGTAACACGTGACAGATTTTTGTATCATTGGTAAATTTCTAAAATTTGTTGACATCTGAACTAAGCAAGGACGCAAAATTTTTACAACCCAATAACAAGTTTCATAAAAACACTTGCCCATAATCAGGCACGTGTTTAAGGGGGGGGGGGCAGGGGATTTTTGTGCATGGCCTCGCATTACTTGTTGACGTCACAAAACACAAGAGATGGGATAGACACCAGCAGTACGCAGGCTGTAACACCAAACAAAAACATGATGAAAAATTTAAGGGGGGGGGGGGGCAGGGGATTTTTGTGCATGGCCTCGCATTACTTGTTGACGTCACAAAACACAAGAGATGGGATAGACACCAGCAGTACGCAGGCTGTAACACCAAACAAAAACATGATGAAAACGTCGGCAAACATGGTGTGATACTTAATCCTTCTTGACTTCATACCAAGGTGAAAAAATAGATAAAATTTGGTATGGTATACCGGTATACCGTATCGATAATGGTGAATGAAAGGACCTAACCTACCCACAAAAAAAAAATTAAATCATAGAAAACTCTTTTGTTACTGTTGAAAAGTGTATATCATAATATGATTGTACAAAAATGTTCGTTTTACTAGTTGCAGCCTCGTCCTTCTGCTTAGTTTTTATCTAAATAAAGCTAAACGACGAAAAAAAGCTGAAAAACAAGAACTGTGTACTCACATACTTATTTCTATGTTCTTACAATAGCCTGACTTTCTTTTTCCTGGCTATTGATGAGCATCAAGCCGCCAACTTCTATTTTTTGTTACCCCCACTTTACCAAGATGGTGATGATCATCTTTTTCTTGTTAGTCTTGCTCTTGTATATTGCTATTATTGTTCTTCAGTTTTAAAATAAGGCAAAGATTCAATTCATGTCTGACATTTCTGGGTGTAATCTTGGGTGCTGGGTGGTCGAGCAGTCCAAAATGAGTCGATTCCTAATTTCTGGACTGCATTCCTATTCCTAGAAAACACAAAGACAAGCAAAACAAAAACCATTCCCCAGCACCCTTGTGCGGATGTGACTACTTCACTTTTGATGGCAACCCATTCTAAGATAAGGCAAACTTTGACATCAAACCAGCAGGGTGTGTTATGATATTTACACTGTAACAACATCGTTAATTGTGAGGACGAAGTTATATGTGTTAAGTTGTTGTATCGTGTTGAACTTCTCTTCGTATTAGCTAGTCCACATTCAACTATCAACACAATGGTTAAAAGCACGAGGGCAAACTTCCTGTATAGCATCACGATAAGTTCAATGACAGAATATACAATTCCCACAATTATCAAATAAATCTCCTTAAACAGAAGGACACATAACTGTCATCACCTTATTACTTTATACACATAATTCACTCAGATCTGTTGGATAAATAGCACGATGCCATGAGATGTTCAGTAAAACACAGCTAGAGCCTGTTGTTACTTGGATCTTTTTACTTTTCTGTGTTGTTGTACCTCTGCGCATAACATATTCATATATCTAACTTCCTCTTAATCTTAAACTGCAAAAACAATACATCATACGAAACAATTCATTATGTTAATATTTGAGCTGTTACAAACGCCCCGCCCCTTTTGAACACATTTTGTGCAACAAAATTTTTTAAAGTATAAATATTTTTCATTTAAAAAAAAATTTAGTACAAAATGTAAGAATTTCAAAGTGATGTACAAGAAATGTAAAAAAAAACCAACTTTTCATTGTCATTACTTAATTGCAACTATCAAAAATATGTTTCCTGGTGAAAAAATTGATAATGTATGTATATTATGATTTTCTATTCTATGTGTCATCTTCATTAATCGTACGTCAATTTGAATTTAAATCCTACTATTTAAATAATATGTGGCAAGATCTCTACATAAATCAGTTGTATGAAAACATAATCGATGTTTCTTATTAATCTGTGGCATGAAAACACCTCTGCTCAGTCATTCTCAAAGATGTATAATATTCTGTGTGCCTCATCACCATGCTACATCAATGTGTTGCAGGAATACACCTCTGCTCAGTCATTATAGGATGTTCACAACACTGTGTGTCTGGATGCATGTCTTACACATTATCAATGATGCATGGCTTATTGCTTCTTTTACTTATCTCGGTCATATGAAGTCAAAGTTATATTATTTATAAGTTGATGAGCTCTAGTTAATTCAAAAAATAGATTGTGTCACAATTAAATCAAAAACAGATGGTGTCACAATTAAATCAAAAACAGATTGTGTCACAATTAAATCAAAAACAGATTGTGTCACAATTAAATAAAAAACAGATTGTGTCACAATTAAATCAAAAACAGATTGTGTCACAATTAAATCAAAAACAGACTGTGTCACAATTAAATCAAAAACAGATTGTGTCACAATTAAATCAAAAGCAGATTGTGTCTTTATAAGCTCACAAAATAGGCTGTGTCTTGATTTTATTGCTTATTCCAATGTTATTATCAAAACATTTGAACAAAAGATGTTTACATTCTCTGGCTTATGTGATTCAATTTTGATTGCTTGTCATCTTCATTATGTTCAGTTTGTCTGGACAAAAAATATGCTATAACATTATTCTTGCCTTTAATTGCTTTGATGTCATATTTGTAGTGACCTAAAATTATTGGCCATCTATTAACTTCACTAGACAGACCAAATAAGGACACAGAACCTAAACTTGTTGATGTTGTACAACGTTACATGGTCCGTGTGAGCAAAAGAACCCCCCAACACTATGTATCTGGAATGATATTTAGATATTATGTAAATCTTCCACAGTTTTACATAGGCAACACGGTTGCGTTGACCCAGCTTGTAATCATACATACGTCTCAATTATTTTAGTTACTACTGATTCCACTTCTACACACTGGTTGATAATCCCATGTTCAGATGACTAAGCCATGCAGCTGGTGTCGTGAAGTTAAAACGAATTCAGCTCCAACTGCCAATGAGCTGAACCCAAAGTTAAACTCGGAACACTGGGAAATGAATTCCACTCCGTTCTCCTCCAATGTGGAAAATGGTTAAAACAGAAGATCTTGTTACTTTTCTTTGGAAGCATTTCCCATTGACCCGGGCATGTGGCAAGGGTCCTCAAAGAATCGAGACCAGCCTGGAAAAGAAACAGAACGTACTCTGTACCTGGAGCTGCCCCATGCACCCCCTTCCCTTTAAGCTCCAGAACTTTTGGTGCATGAATTGGCCTGATAGCCATTTGCGAACCAACAGGCAGGCTCAGACCTTACAACAGGTCGATGTTTAGAATGGTCTTGGTTGACCCTTGACGGATGAACTGCGAGCTATATTTTCTACGTCTTAACACCGAACAAAGCAAACAATGATAAAAAATATTTTTTTTTAAAGTTTGAGAAATTTATTTTGATTGAAAATTGTCTAAGTTCGAATAAGAAAAACTACTACAGACTGATAGCTTTTAATTATATATATATAATATATATATATATATATATATTTCTCGTATCTTCTTAATCAATGTTTGAGGCTAAAGGCACGTGAACATTTCGAAAAGCCTATTCATGTTTAATTGATGGGTAAACTGTAGACCAGGGGTTCTAAACCAAGAGTGTCCTCACAACTTCAGTTGTGGGGTGGGCAGTGTTAGGAGTTGCGGAAAACCCGAAATATCACGTTTCTTTGAAATTGTACGAGCATTTTATTCTGGTTGAGGGTGGGGGTGAGCCAGATCTGAAGGGTGAGGGAAATTTTTGGAAAGCGAAATAGGGTGCAGCGCTGCACAAAAATTTGGGAGCCACTGCTTTAGTCATTCCGATGAGTATGGTAATATTGATAGAACGTGGAAATAATGCTTACTACGATGACAAGCAAAATTGTACATTCTGATGAAACCTTCACTACATTTTCGTAATTACTTATGCCGCTCATACCAATTTTGGTTACATTTTTCTATTTCAAGTCAAATTTTAAAGTTTTGCCTTTGAAAAATAATTGTACGTACCATGCTAAATTCAATAACAAAACATTTAAAATAAATATGCACCTATTACGACGTAATCTGAAATTTAAGTTCAATTATGGTGAATTATTGAATTCGAAACTTTATTATTTCCACATGACTGTGTCATCGTCAATCATAGCTAAGAAGAAAGAAAATCACATCAATGTAATGATCTGTGATAAGTTTTTTTATTTTTTTATGAAAATCGAGATGTTGGGTACCTGGTTAGGTAATTTCTCAACCAGGAAAGTTCATATGGCTTTGTCCGCTGGCCGGCGACGTGAAAAGAAATCTTAAATCGTACATCATCAAGCACCACCTGATCGGACACCATCAAGCACCACCTGATCGGACATCATCAAGCACCACCTGCATCAGACGGAATCAACCACAACAACCATTGTTCATCAGACTAAATCAAACAAAATTTGTCTTTTCATCAGACTGAATGAAACATAATCAGTCTCAGTCATCAGAGTAAGTCTTGAAACCTCTGTCCAGTTCACCAGACTAAATAGAGAATCATTTTCCTCAGACATCAGTCCAAAAACAAGAACAATGTACAATATATTTAATCTGCATCAGACTATATCAAGCACCATCTGCCTCAGGCATCGGACACGTTAGAACGCGGTATTTATGATGACCACGACACAAAAAATGTGTTTTTATTTATTTTAAAAAGTTTTATTACTTTTTTGAGACTATACAGCGATGAATATTGCTCTTGAACATTTTTACGAGAATTTAACAGATGGCACGTACGATAAAATTAAACCCCCTACTTTAGTAGGCATGAAACCTCGAAATACATCTACTAGTGGGGTAAGGCGTTACAAAAAACAATGATGAATGGAACCAAATTTGACGCGGTGCTTAGTCTGATCAGCGACGAGCTCTGCCAACTAATTCTAACAATAAACTTTGCCTCCATCAGTCCCGTCCTGTCATTGATTGGTCTCGGTGGACACATCATCAACATCACCGTCTTCGTGACGCAAGGTTTCCACGACACGGTAAACATTAGCCTTGTGGCTCTGGCCGTAAGTGAAATGGGGATGCAACTCAACAGTCTCACGGTCGCTATCCTTAACAATCCCATCCTACTCAGTTCAGATATTTTGATTGAGCCACAAGAGTTCGAAACCTCAGTGGCTGGGTTTCCAATAGCCTCCTTCAGCAAGACAACTAGCTGGATCACGGCGTACATCACATTCGAAAGATGTCTGTGCGTTGTGGCCCCATTGAGAGTCAAGAGACTGATCACTCCTAAAATCGTTGTTTTCATAATGGCTTCAATCTACGTGATGATGTTTGCAGCCCTCATACCTGAGTACATGACCTTCTATTTAGACTGGAAATATTTCCCCGACAGAAACAAAACTCTGATTGGTATAGTGCCGAGAAAGCACAGCCAGGCTGCAAGGGGGATAACTTTTACTACCAACGCTTTTAGTGAATTCCTTTCATTTTCCTTAATTATACTTTTCACTTCTATTCTTGCTGCAAAGCTACGACAAAGATCACAATGGCGCGTTAAAACTACTCCCGGAGCCGAAATATCACTGAAAAACATAGGTAAGAAAGATTCCAAGACTATTAAAATGATAACGGCCATCGCAGCCATCCACATCCTTTGTTTTTTTCCGGCTATCATTGCCTTGCTAATTTCTGTCAACGTTCCAGAATTTTACATCGTCGGACTTTACAAGAACTCTTTTCTAATAGCATTTTCTTTTCCTAACTTGTTTGAAGGCGTGAACTCGTCAATAAGCGTTTTTTTGTATTACAGAATGAGTGCAAAGTACAGGCGCACAATTAACAATGTTTTCTTAAAAAGGAAGACTAAACAAAAAATATGAATACGATTAACATGTTAATTGCTAAATACTTATTTTTCAAACCAGTAGTGAATGACTAGATAAAAGAAATTGAAATATATCGTTTTGATAAGAGTAGTAGAGTATAGCCTAATTAAACAATTCCTAAAACAGATGTTTTGGTACGATCATTTATATTCATTTTTCTTGGCATTCATGTAATTTCACATGATTGATCATTGATTAAGAAGCAGTTATGTATATGGAACAAACTGACAAGTCTAATACATGTAACATTAAACAACTCAAATAGCAAAATCAAGGTTCAAGGAGAATATTCAAGGGAATTCCAGATTAGACGAGGCCTAAGACAGGGAGAATCACTGTCTTGTATGCTTTTTAACCTAACATTAGAGAGATTTATGAAAAATATACACATTGACACTCGAGGAACGATAACAGGATACTTTCTGAGGGAAACTCAAGACCCACAACCAACGGGCACACTCTACAAACAACCACTTCAGTATCTTGCATATGCTGATGACATAGCACTGCTAGGAAAAAGTATTAAAGACATATCAAAATCCTTATTGCATTAGCAGACGCATCACTACAAGCAGGGCTGAAAGTTAACAACCAAAAAAAAACAAAACACATGACCATGATAAGAGAAGAACAAACAGATGAAGCAATGAAAACTAGAAACCAGACTTTTGAAAAAGTAAATCAATTCAAATACCTAGGATCTTTATTAAATGAAAGAAACGAATTATTTACAGAAATAAAAGAAAGAATATCAGCCGGAAACAGGGCATAATTCAGTAGTCAGAAAATACTCAAAAGTAAAAACATTACAAGAGAAGCAAAGAAAATGTTTATAAAACTGTAATCAGGCCAGTTGTAACATATGCAATTGAAACTTGGACCCTAAAAAACGGAAGAAAACCTATTAAACGCATGGGAGAGGAAAGTTCTCAGGAAAATATATAGACCAACAAAGGATGAATACGAACCAACCATGATGTATCCAGTCTATATCAGGATCCTACGATAGTGGCAGAAATAAAAAGAGGCAGGCTACGCTGGGCAGGACATTTAGAGAGAATGCCAAATGACAGAGGAACGAAGAGGGTGCATCGCCAATACCCCAGAGGAAAAAGGTTCAAAGGCAGACCTGGGCTTCGATGAATGGATGATGTGGAAAAAGATCTACAACAGCTGAAAGTCGAATCATGGAAAAGAAAGGCATTAGTTAGGTCTGAGTGGAAGGAAGTAGTGAGCAGGCCAAAGCCCTACAGGGGCTGTAGCGCCACAGGGATGGATGGATGTGTACATGGATAAACGTCTGGCGAAAGCACGTTTCGTATTTTCATCATTTCTCCCTTTTAAAACACGTTTGATTTTTACGGCATTCCCAAATACGTCACAAATAAAAAGCACACAGCAATCGCTATACAATCAAAGTCCATCACAAAACACGCACCCATGGAACAAATCATATTGCACTCATCTTAACCCTTTGAAAAACAGGTATAAACTGATTTTTGGAGGTGGAATGAGGCTGAAAATTTGACAGAATGTGCTATCTTTGGTAATAAGTCTATGGCGCCAGTTTCAGTCTGATAGGATGACGGAAAGTGGGTCAATGAGCCGTCCGAAGGTATTGCCATAAACAGAAATACACGAACGAAAGCGAAGTTAATATATAAAGGATTTTAAAAAATAACATGGAGAAAAACGACATTCACCTCTCTTCTTACTGCTCAAATGTTTATACAACAAAAAGAGTGTGTGAAAATTGTTGTTAAAAATCCTATTCTCGTCCTGGGGCACACCTTTTAGTTGGATAACCGTAAAAGGAGAAAATAATTGAGGAAACAATAAAGACTTTAACTGAAAACACTCGTCCTTATTTCTATGTCCTAAAAGTAACCTGGTGGTTGTTTTGTGGCAGTTTACGGGCAGCAAGGCGCAGGAAGATTCTGTTTGTTTACACCCATATTATTCAATGGTAAATGTTCATGATATTTATTGATTTATTTATTTAGGCATTTTTATAGAGCGCTTACCATAAAGCTCTAAGCGCTTTACAATTATTAAAACATGTAAATTAAGTAAATAAAAATGAGACACTAGGATAGTAACTACTGTACTATAGAAACAATGAAAATGGCTATAAAACGAGGACACTTTGACACTTCAGAGTCAACCCGAAAAAGAAAATGAGGTAGGGCAAGGAGGGTGCATCACAGGTCATAGGCGGACCTAAACAGATGAGTTTTAAGGGACTTTTTGAAACTGGACGAGGTTTCACTATGACGTATATGGAAGGGGAGCTGGTTCCAGAACGTGGGCCCATGGAAGCAGAAGGATATCCTGGTTATTAAAATTCTTGTGTATTGTCGTTCTTCTTCTTGTGCATTGTTATTGTTGTTCTTGTATATTGTTAATATTGTACTTTTATATTGTTATCAGTTTTCGTGCATTTTTATTATTGTGAATGTTACCCAGGTTATTAATGTTCTTGTATAGTGTTACTGTTTTTCTTGCATATTACTATTAATGTTCTTCTCTATTGTTACATGTATTATTTTTCTTGCGTGTCGTTATTATTGTTATTGCATACTGTTTTTAATGTTCTTGTTTTTTTTTTTAATTTTATTTGAATTCTTATTAATTTTTTTTTGTCTATCGTTATTATTGTTCTTGTATACTTTTATTAATCCTCTTGTATGTTGTTACTAGCCAATATGTAGCGATGCTCGGGACTGCATTCAGCAAAACAAAAACTTCTACACCCTTTTAATAAGCATTGAAATTAAGGGCCGTATAAAAAAAATAATTTTTAACAAATTATCTCCTATAAAAACACATTTAAAATATCATTGGTAAACCTTTCGTTCCCCAATGGGATACTGATTCCCGATGGGATACCGATTTCCGATGGTATCCAGTTTTCCGATGGTATCCAGTTTTCCGATGGTATCGCGGTACTATAATTGTAATGAATAACGCCGACTCGTCTGTGTTCGGTGTAACAGCTGATCTTTATTCCTTATTCTACACTTTTTTTTTATATTTCACATTCATGATCACCCCACGCCTTTAAGTTGAGGCATTCATGAATAAAAAACAACTGACCACGTCCAGTCATACCACATAACACCAACACAGGCCAATCAGGTCACAAAGTTCACTCACTGCTCAATAATAATCGTCAGTCATACATACTATCACATCATCTCCCTCTTAACAATACAATCAACAGTCAATCAAGAAAAACCCACGCATGCACCATCATATAAGTAGTAATACTAAAACAGATGCAACAGGTTGTATGCAAAAATAACTCAGTTTGCATTGCCTCTATATCAGGCAAGCGTATTGGTGGTTTCACTTGCCTGCCACATCTTGTCAGCACATGTGCTGGAATAGTATGTGCTGGAATAGGATTGATGGCACTTGGTAGTGACAATTTTCACTAGAGTCTCTTATACAACCTCTGGGTTGGTGAGTTGTGGCTCATGTGTTGTATCGGGGCTGTCCAGTTCTAATAAATCTAGAGTACTGCTTTGACCGCCAAATGGCTCTTTTAACATTTTCTGATTTCACCGATATTTCATCCCCTCTGGTGTTTTGACAATGTATGACCTTGGTGTGAAGGCTTCTGAGATAACTACTGCTGGCTTCCATGAACTTCAAGGCCTGTTCTGCATATAGACACTGCTACCAGGCTGACATTTTGACGGTCCGTCATTTTCGCAGTCTTTTTGTAATATCTTCCTTGATCGTTTTTTTCTTCTGTTTCAGATTTTGGGTTTGGAGCATTTGGCTTTAGTTAGGCATCAGTAGCTGGAAGAGTTGATCTCAGGCGTCTGCCCACGATTAGCCGTGCAGGTGAAGGTCCATCAGGGCATGGGGCATTTCTAAACTGCAACAGGTCAATATATCTTGTCCCGAAGCGTGAGCTTTCTTTAAAAGTTTCTTTACTGCCGGTATTGCTCTTTCAGCCATGCTATTTGACTGTGGCTATCTGGGACATGATGTGGTTAAAGCCCCACTGTTTGGAGTAATAGAGAAATTCTTCACTGGAAAATTGGGGTCCATTGTCACTAATTATTACTTCTCTTGGAAAGCCACGGTGCGTAAATTGGGACTTCATTTGAATGATCACATTAGAAGCTTTGAGAGGCGGTATGAGACTAATTTCAAAGAATCTGCTGTTAGTAATCAAGAAGAAGTAAATAGTTCTTTCCAGAGTAATGGAAAAGATCAGCTTGGCCTTTGCCCAAGAAAGAGAGGGGATTGTATGGGCTATCATACGATTTTTTTGCTGGGACTTTTGATACTGGCTGCCTACTGAGCAGTTCGGTACAATGTCTATGATCTGTGATGTCATTCCCAGCCAGAAAAGTACTCTCTTGCTTTAGCCAAACATTTATCACGCCCGCAATGTACGGGGTGAATTCTCTTGAGCTTTTCTGTCTGCAGTATTTTCGGAACTATAATTCGCTCTCCTTTGAAAAAGTAATCCTTAGCTTTTACTTTCTTCCTTGAATCCAGCATACATTCTTATTTCTTGTGGAATCTCAGATCTTCTTTCTGGCCAACCCGCTAAAATATGTTGTCTTAAAAAGCATGAGAGTGGCATCGTTCGCTGTTGCTGGTTGAAATAATTTCAAAAGGAATATTGTAAATGGATATACTGGTTCAGAAACCTATCATTATGTCACATACAAACTGAAATGGCTCAGTTTATATTTGATTCAAGTCCAGCCACTCTTGCAATAGCTCTGTTTGAAATTATATTTACATATCTCATGTAAGAAATAAAAACGAATTTAGGGTCCCCCGGCCCCAAACGGAATATTGTTAAAATGGGTGTAGTTATTTGAAAAAAATTGGAGAGCATGCACACAACATCTCACTAAAGCATTATCGCAAACATATGAATGGTATAGGAACGCATACGGAAATTATATTTAAATAGCTCATAGCAGAAAAAAAAAACTAACTTAGGGTCCCGGTCCAAAACTAAA